CCAGGGGTTTTGGCCAGCCCCAAAAAACCACAGTGTGTGCTGCTAACCCAGAGTCACACAATTCCACCCTGGGTGGGGTGTGAGAGCTGCTGGCAAATGGAGAGACACAGCATAATTCAAATCCTGCTTTGTGACAGAGGGGCTGTGTTGCTCTCTCTCTCTCTCTCTCTGTCAGCTCAAAATTCAGTTTTTTTTTCCTACTAACTCTTCACAGTAGTGGTTGGGTGGTTGGATAGATAGTTGGATCTGTGGTTTTCCTGGTTTGGTTATCTCTGTGGTGATTTTTTCACTGTTCAGAGGAAGCACCAAACCGGGATGATATTTTAGATACAGCTGTGATATGAAGATACAGAAACACATAAAGGGGAAGATGATGTCAGTGTGAGAATGTGAATGTGATTACAAAACCAGGTATTTTTGTGACAGAGCATCACATATCACTAATAATGTGTTTGTGGTTCTCCATAGTTTTCTACAGTTCTGTGACATGATTGCTCCAGTGGTGACAGGGAGGACATGAACTAATAAAAGGTTCTGGTGGCTTGTGTGTCACAGACTGCCTGACACTCAGAACCCTCAGCAGGAGGAAGGAATTTAATGTATATTCCTGGTTTTTTCTTGGAAAGACTGCACAAGGGTTCAACATTCCACCTTCACCACGATGAATGACAGAGATTTTCCTGCACAGTCCAACCACAGTGCCACAGGAGGTCAGTGAAACAGCTTAAACCAGAGGTTTAATCAACCAATTAATTAATTAATTAATTAACATTAATTAATTAATGTTTAATCAAACATTGTCCTCTCAGAGGAATGGTTGGGTTTGGACACTGTCAGAGCCCTGCTCCTTTATTTTGGGGGATGTGAGCTGAAATTAGACATTACAATATATCCTATATCATATGTCATATATTCTATTCTATTCTATTCTATTCTATTCTATTCTATTCTATTCTATTATGTTATATTATATTATATTATGTTATGTTATGTTATGTTATGTTATGTTATGTTATGTTATATTATATTATATTATATTATATTATATTAATATAGAAGCAGATAGATCGATATAAATATATATAGAAGATCAATATAAATATATATATCTGTATTATTATTATATAATATAATATATAATATTATATATATAATATATAATATATAATATAAGATATTATTTATAATATATCATATAATATATCATATATGATATATAACATATATTACATATATACATATATTACATATATAACATATATTATAATATATATTATATATTACATAATATAAAATATATAATATATCATATATCATATATCATATATCATATATCATATATCATATATAATATGTAATATATAATATATAATATATCATATATAATATGTAATATGTAATATATAGTATATAGTATATAATATATCATATATCATATATCATATATCATATATCATATATAATATGTTATATATTATAATATAAATATAGATAATAAAATAATTGTTATATTATTTTATTATCATATTATTATGTATATATGTTATATATGATATATATATATATATTAGGCATTATTTCCAGCCCTGGAAATAGAGTGATTTCCTCCTGCAGCAGGTTGGCAGCAGGGGCAGGCCCAGCCCAGGTCCCCCCAGCTGCTGCCCCTGCTCTGGGTACAGCAGCTCCAGTGCTCCCACACCCCCTCTGCCCACACAGCTGGGTGCACACAGTTCTTCCACAGCTGAAAAACAAGTTTTTGTCATTTCCACACGTGCCAGGCTGAATTTTAGCTGTCATTGTGCATTGGGTCACTCTCTACTCCTTGTCTGAGCCAGGCAAGCACCGTGGTCCTCTGCAGGAGCTTCCAGAGCTGCCCCTCTGAGGTATCCCAGTGCATTTTCCTGTAAAACCTGACCCATTAATGATCATGTCTGAGCAAGAGACGCAGCAGGAGCAGCCTCAGAAAGATGCTGGCTCTCTGGGGATGAAACTCTGGCTTTGGGCAGCTGCTTCAGGTGATCTTTATTTTAATATTTTGTGGATTAGGGCCTTTTAAAACCCATGTGCACCCTTCTAAAAGTCAGTCTGTCTCAATGACATCACTCAGATTTGCTTTTTTGCGAGGGTTTTGGATCCTCACACATAGCATTTCATCAAGGAGACATATCTGCAGGCAATGTGGCAGCTGCTCCCTGGCTCCTGGAGCCTGCAACGCTTTATTTGGGTCATGCAGAGTGTCTTTCCTTCCCCTTGAAGCAGGTAAAATGTCTGCTGGTTCTGACAGCCAGAGAGAGCACCAGGAAAGTGAAGCTATTTTAGAAGGGAAATTGTAAATGAAGAAGTTTGCACAGTACATTTCTAATCACCTCCAGGCAGTGCTGCTGGAGTGAAGCTAAATTCAGCTCTCACTTGGCACCAGTGGAACTCCTCTGATCCTAATGTGGGTCACTGCATCCCAGCCATGGAAATGTCCCTGCACAGGAGCACCCCCCATCCCCAAAAACCTGGAGAGGGATTAGCTCCGTGTTACACCTTTGTGGAGCTAAAACTGCAGCCCTCAGGCCACTCTCTGGTGATAATGAAATTGGCTTTCAAAGTTTTTTGCAGGGGGATCATTATGGTGATCACTAGTTCTGGCAACATTCCAGTAGGAGGGTGTTTTGCTCTCAAGATTCCATAAAATTAGAAAAATCCCAGTTAGAACCAAATCAAAGTTCTGTCTCACTTACTCGCAATTAGAATTATGCAAAATCAATATTAATGGTTGGCAACTGCTGGTGCTTACAATAAATCAATATTACTAACTGGAGGACTTCAATAGTTCTGAAATGTACATTTCTTATAGGGGAAAAAAATAGGATTTAAAAATATTGCTGAAGTTTCTGATGCAGAAAAAACCCCTTAAACTGCAAAATCCCTTTGGTGTGATGGAGTATCCAGAATAGCAGCTTCCCAAATAAAGCTTTTCTCTCCAGCCTGTGCTGTGTGGGTGTCAGCTTGGTGTGCTCCTCACTGTTCTGAGGCTGCTACGTTCCAAATGCAGCCAGAGCTCTCAGGGCTTCGTGTTGGCTTGAACAAAAAGCTACAAACCATAAACAAATCTACGTCTTCTTCCTCCTGAGGCACTGAGGGTGAACCTGTGAGTGAGAGCAGAGCCCTGTCAAAAAGGTTGAGTTTGATATGTGACTTCTGCAAAATTACTGAGCCTTCCAGGCTGGTGGAATTCATTCCCAAGGGCAGGGCAGATGTTTGCTGGAATATCCACTGGTGACTCCCTGGGAAGTTTGGTAGGACAAATCATTTTGCTAAGGGGTTGCAAGTTCTGAGCCCGTAATAAGTGTGACCCAGTTTCCTATTCCATGACTGAACAATTTGCACAGCTCTAAATATAAAACTGTTGATAACAGATCTGTATTTGTGGGAAAGGGAGGTGCCTCAGGAACTGCACTGGGTAACATGTGTTTCCAGCCACTCCACAAAACTCCCTAATAAAAAGTGAATTGGGCACAGTTCTTGACCTTTTTCATTCCCACATACAAATAAACATCAAAACCCAGGTTGAAATTATAAATATATTTGTGTTGTTTATAATCATGGCACTACACAGTGAAAATCATGTCATTTCATTTTTCTGGAAGGAATTGGAATAGAATAAGACAGTATTGATACAGAATAACCTCTCACTGTCCCGTTTCATTCTGTTCTCAGAAGTAACAATCCTAACAATGGAAGCAGTAAGTGCATTGGAAAAGCTGTGGAGTGAGCAGAAATAAATAAGTGCACACCCAGGGTGAGCCCTGCCAGCCCAGGCAGTGATGCAGAGCTGGTCCCAGGGACAGCCAGGACACAGCCCTGCCCTGCAGCCCCTGCAGAGGGATGGAGCTGGAGCTCCTGGAGCTCAGCATGGACAGGCTGGGCTTGGCTGAAGGTCTGGGGATCACCAGGAACAGGTCCCTGTCACCCCCAGCCACACAGGCAGTGTGTTATCCAAAGAGTGCTTTTTTAAAGAAATAATAGCATTTACAGTAGTTAAACAAATGCTACTTTTTATCAGCTCTAATTACTTTATAAGCATACAGTCCTTAGCTTGCTTATTACTATTGAAGCCCTCACAGCTACTCTAGATAACATTTAAATACACAGAGCTTTAAAAAAATATTTCCATTACAAATATTTTAAAAATATACTTATCCTAAAAAGCTGTCCAGCACTATTCCAAAAATCTCTTGTAATAAACATCTTTTTAAATTTTAACAAAAATATCTACCATCATATAGAAGAGCTCAAGTTTTGACAAATCTATAATACAGTCAAGAAATATGTTGGGCCAGATTTCACTTTTGTTTATACAGTTGCCAATTTGGAGCATGGTGTTCATCTGATTTGGGTTATTCCAGTATAACCAGGAGCAGAATATAGCCCTTAGTGCTTTAAAATAGCTAAATGGACTGGATGCTGCAACAGTTACTGGTGCAGAGCATTACAGGGAGGGAAATCCTTTACTTCACTACAGCTAAAAATGCAAAAGGATGTTATATTTAGTATTTGTGCCATGACCAAAGAAGTGTCAGGCATCTGCAGTGGATGACTCAGACCCAGAATCATATTCACTTACAGAAATATATATATATATTTTTTTTTTTTTTTGCTGTGCCTGCAATTGCTGTCATTAAAAGGAGGATGAATGTTTGTGGAGAACTTTTGTAGGGGGAAAATGCCAACCTTCCTCTCATGCTTTCTGCAATTCCAGGAATCATTTTAATTGTATTTTGTGTGAGTTTTAATAGAATCTCACAGTACTTAGATCTAGGAAGGATACTATTTTGAATTGCTTCTGTATTTTCAACCTGAAACATCTCCATTCATCCAGTCCTGTTCAAAGTGTATCGAAAACAAGCTTCAAGCACTTATAAGAATCTGCATGTCATCAGGACAATCTGGAAACTCATCTTTTAAAACACTGGAACTTTTTTCTTTTTTACTTTCCCCCCCGCCTTTTTCCTTCAATCTTCAAGTTTAAATGCAATGTTTGATTAAGGACCATGGAAATCAAGTCTCAGCTCTGCCATTCCCGCCTGTGACCTAGAAGGGATCCTTACACATTGTGAGTTTAAGTCATGTTTAAAGCTTTTGCTCTACTTTTTTTTTTTTCCTCATAGACTTTGGCTGATGATCTGGAAATTGATAAAGCAAGGAAATTTAAGGATTTGGACCAAGTTCAGTCCTCACTGTCATCCTCATCGTCATCGTCGTCCTTGCTGGGAGCACACCTTTGGAAGCAGTGCACCAGCGTGGCCAGGAAGAAGCTGGAGAGAATTGCAGCAATGGACACGGCAACTCCAGAGAAAATGATGATAAAAAGGTCTGTCAATGACAAACTGAATTTGCATTCACTAAAGCTGACCTCAGATAACTCATTCAGAAAGATCCTTCTGTTCTCCACGGGCAGGGAGCACTGGATTTCATGGAGACCTGCAAGGAAGCGGAAAGGGAAACAAATCAGCACGCTATTGATGAATTCTTCTGTTGTTCTGGGCCAGAGATTGAAGGGATGAAGAAAAGTTTTAGGGTTAATTCCAGGTTTAAGAAATTGTAAATATTCAGGGGAAAATGCCTGCCACTATCCAAAAGCCATTACACAGACCCTTTGAGCAGCTCCTGGAAATTAAGTTATATCACCTTCAGCTCTCCAGGGATCAGATGTGATCTAGGACCATGATTTGGAGGAATTAAAAAAGTGAATGTTGAACCCTGGATCATCTAAACCTGGAGACCTGAAAGCAATTCCCAGCTATTCCATCTGAACACAAACTCTGACTCCGAAACAGGGTAAGAGGGACACTGAGGTTCCTTCCACACCCTTCTACATTACTTTTTTCCATGTAGTTCCAAACTAGAGTTGTTTTTTTCTGGTCAAACAACACTTTGGGTTTAATGGATGTTTATTTATCTGTGACCTGCTTCCACCTTTTCTCTCTGCCTGTCCTGAGGCCATGCAGACTGACAGATATTGTTCCTCCCTGCATTACTGGAGAGTGCTGAGAGCTGGGTTCTTTGTAGGGAAAGCACAAACCCCCAGATTTAAGGAGTGCTGGGAATACAGTCGGATCCTGGACAGTAAAAGCACACAGTTCACTGCATATGCCCAGCTCCCTCTTCATTCACCACGGGGAACATCAGGAGAGGGCATTACCAGGGCCAGGATGGAAGCAGAACTGAAGTGAATGAAGTCTGTAGAGCTGCTGGCAAGACAGCTTTTGTCTCACTATTAAGGACATGAATATATAGGGGAAATATAAGAATTGTGTGCTGATGACACCAGAACTGCTGCTGCATTCCTTGATCCACTTCCTCTCTACTGATGATCCCAGGCTGTTCTCCCTGGTTTGGGCTCTGCCTTGCTGTGTGCACACAGAATTTGTGGTGTTTCCATCCCACAGCTCTGCCACAGAACCGTGAGGTCGCTCTAAACCAGGAATGGTGATGATAAGATTCCCTCTGCATTGGTGAATCCCGGTTTTCCTGTGGCTGGATGGATTTCCTGTGGCTGTGGCATGTGATGTTTTACTGTTGAACCCAGGCTCCTTGGCTTAATGGTGCTGCCCTGACTGATCAGCCCAGCCCAGCTGTTGTGTTGATTTGAGAAGGAGTTTTAGTTAATTCCTCTGTGGAACCAATTATCACCCTGACCTACTTGACCTTGTAATGACTGTATTAAATTCTGATCCCTAAAAGCCATCCCGTATCTGTTGTATTTGCCTGAAGTTCTGTGCCTTTCCCTGTTTCTCCTGTTCCCCTGCCTGGGAGCATCCTGAGAGCTGCCCAGCAGTGTTTGCAGTCACCTGCCAGGGCTCAGGGCAAGCTGCTCCCAAAGCCACGCTGCCTTTCCCGAGCCCGGAGCAGCAGATGGTGAACAAGCAAAACTTGCTCTGGAGATCTGTGAAACCTCCTGGCATGGAAACTGACCTGGAAGAGAAAGCAGCTACATGGTTTCAAACATCCTCTGAGACTTCTGGAAATCTGACCCTGCAATGTTCATGTCTTCTGCACCAGCTGATACCCTGGAGCACCTGAGCTCGCAGGGGCTGAGGAGATGCGAACCTGCCTCCCTCCACAAACCTTCCCACTGAAACAACTGAGAGCTGGCCCCTTAATCATATTTTCATAATCATATTTTCATTTCAGTAAGACTTGGAAGTAGCAGCTGTAGGCATTAATCAGAGTAAGCAAAACTGGGGACAGATGAATATCCTTCCCTATTCAAAACCATGAGAAATGAGGGATGAGTGAAAAGCCATAGGCTGGAATTTCAAGATCTGTATCTTTTAAATCAGATTTTAAAAAGCAAAGATTTTTTTTTTTCAGTAAATAAATATAATCCTGACAGTAATCAAAGGAGTTGCATGAGTGCAACATAGTTCAGATTCATTCGAAGAGGAATTTCCTTGTTAATAGGAAAAGATCACTGCAGCATTTTGGCAGGAAAACCTGCACCAAGTGAATAAGGCACCTACACAAATTCCATTTCACTTGTAGCAAGCACAAGAAAAAAGAGGTTTCTTTACAACTGTGTTTCTGTAAAAGAAATCAATCTAACAGGGGTTGGGACCTCCTGAGAACTGCTGTTTTCAGAGAGTCTGGGCCAAGCTCCTCAAAAGAAAGAGGGCACAGGTGACCAGAAGCAACTCTACCTTTTAAAATTTCTGTCCAACTGCAAAAGAGATTCTCAACTGGCAGCATTTAAAATACCTCTGTGCTGGAGTGATGGGATGGAATATCAGATCTATATAAGGGAGGAAGAAGAAAAAAAATAATAGAGTAAAGAAGACTCTAAAAGAAGACTCTTGTCCTGAGCAGTTCTGCATTCTGCAGCCCTTGGCTTTAGAGATAACTTACCAAGGTAGCATTTGCCCAGGATCCCAGACATGGAAAGGAGATCACTCCTTCATTCCCAACTGCAGCTCTGCCGTGGATCAAAGCTGAATCTGTGCACTGTGAGCTCCATTCCTGTCTCCCTGATGCTTTCCCTTTACATCACAACACACAGAATGCAAACAGCAAAGGATCTGCAACACACCAAGGCACTCAGAGGGTGTTTCTTGTTATGGGAATCATTGTTCTGCAAGGATTTTGAGACTCATTGTACAATAAGGAGAAATAAAGGTGCTCTTCTCCATGTAGCCATGGGTACTGGAATCTAGGTCATGTTCTCAAACCAAATAGATTAGATGGGAATTTGCTGCTTGCTTTATTCTGTGACAGCCCAACAGGCTTCTGTGGCCTTGAGTTTTCAGAGAATTCTTAGTTCTTGGGAATTACAGATGCCAGTAGATGAAATACAGCAGCACAGAGCAGGGGCCAGTGCAGGGTCAGATCTGGCTCCCAGTGCAGCTTCAGTGCTGTGTGTGCAGCCTCTTCCAAAGGACAGGAACGAGCTGAGCTCTCCCATCCACACACAGGGCACTCCTAAAGCTGTGCTGGAAGCACCAGGCAGTGACTGAGGGAAAGGAAGGTTGATCAGTCCATCCTGATGGGTGGATGTTTCCTTGAGTCGTGACTGCTGAAAAACCCAGCCCAGCCAAACAGAAGCTTTTCTTTGGGCTCCAAAGAGAATTTGGAACAGACTGTTCATTTGGAACCATCAACAGGAAGAGCAGCAGTTCTGTCTCTGGTGGCACAAGGAATTTCTCCTTCCAGAGCTGATGCAGTGGTTCTTGCACCAGAGCTTCCAGCTGTTCACCTGAAAATGCCACTGCTTGCAGGTGACACGCCTGCTAAGATGAGAAATGGACAAACCCATTTCATCCTTCCATGGAAACTCAGCCCTGGCTTTCCATTCTTTACAAGCAGGTTGTTCTTACACCATGAGAGTCAGAGAACTGATGGTCTGTGCTCCACCTGTCCTGTTCCATATCTACCCAGAAACACACCCATCCTTGTTCTTTCCTTGGGCAGGAAGTAATTCCAGGGCATTAAACACCCTCTGCATGAACAATGAACTAAAGAATGGTTTCTGGAAAGTGATCAGTATCAATTATAGGCTGTAGGTTTTTTCCTTTGTGTGATTCTGTTGCATCTAGACTGGCTCAATCAAATCCCTGTCCCCACACACAGCCTGTAGAGGACAGAAGATGCAATTTAACCTCAGAGCTCTGCTTTCACACACTTTCACTTGAATGGTATTAATTTTTATAGTTTGTTTGTGGGGACTTTCTGTACTTTTATATTATTTATTTATTCTGTAGAATTTTATTCTTTTAAAAGACCAGCCAGGATTCTTGTAAAGGGCATCTCAAAGCAGCTTGGTATTTAGTGCCTGGCTGCAGCAAGAGAGCCTTTGATGACAGTTATATATATCCACCTCATTGCTCACACAACATATTCAAGGAGTTGCTTCTTCATACCAAACAAAACTGTAAATGAAATAACAAGTGTGAGTGTGCTATAAATACACAGCTTGGGTTATTTTGGTCAGGGCCATCCCATTATCTGTAAATGACTCCAGCTGTCCCAAGGACAATGTCACACACCCTGTATCCTTCTGCTATGTCATCAGAAGGAGCAGATGTATTGCACTGATTGCTTTGAAGTGCCAGGCAAGGCACAGGTGCTGGATTTTACACAGGCTTGTCCCAGCTCTGGAAAAATAAGGATGAAAACACAGGTCTGTACCCTGAGGAATAGACTGAGTGTGGGAAAATGCTGGGATTCCAGAACCACAATGTTAAAAGGAGAGGTGGGTTTTTGAAAAGAAGAAAAAGAAAACGTATTCATAAGGAAGTGATGCAGGAGGGTTCCAGGTGGAGTTATTGCAATGAAATTCCCAGATAAGTTTCAGAACGATATGACTGTGAATGCCTTATGTTACAGGAGTACAACTCCACCAAGTCCAGCACTTAAACCTGCCAGTAAATTACAGATAATTGGGCTGCTGCTAGATCCTAAAAACCACTTTGTTTCTGTTCAGGATTATGCCCAGGCTGAAATCCCTCTCTGTAAAACTGAACCTCCTGGAAAATGGAAGAAGCTTAAACCTGCATGCAAATAATGAATAATTTCCTTGTAAATTACTGAGAAGAGACCAACAATGCTGTAATGCCCCAAAGTTATAACTGGACTGATCTCACCATCTCAAAACCCCCACAGAGGCCCTGCTTCATCTGAACCCTGCTGGGATTTTGTAGCCATAATCCAGCCACGTTTCTCACAGGTTCTTGTCATCAGGAGTTTTTAAACCATCAAGTGCACTGACATTGCTCCTGGTTTTCCCTGGATATATTGACTGCTGCCCTACTGCACTGAGAGTTTTGGTTTATGAGGGCATCGCTTTCTCCAGGTCCACTTGACCCTGTTTTGAAGGACTCCTTGTGTCTTTCTGTCTCTGCTTATTTCTAATCCCTACACTAAATACATCTGTGATTGGAGAACCTCAGGAATTCATTATCATTTCAATGTTATGGTCTGTCTGTTAG